GTTAACAATTCAATAGGTCATTTAATAAGTAAAAACATACATACTTACCTCCACTTTGAGTCAAATGAAAATGGAACACAAAGCAAAATGCAGTAAGTCTTGTAATTTTTGTATAATTATATTGAAGTCCATTAAGATTTTAATTAAGATAACACTTAGATTCATTTTTTGTCAATAATTTGTTAGTCATGTTGATGAAAAATAGTTTTGTCATATTTATTACATTAAAATGTATTTTTTACTTTATTTATTTTTGCGTTTTTACACCATCTACATTAATTTTGACCCCTTTGATCTTACTAAAAGAGAGATTGATGTAATTATGTCAAAATTATAAAATTTATGATATTTATACCAAATTTTAAGGAGTTGTTGTAATTTACCGTTTATAATTTAATCTAATTACAGAACTAGTAAGTCACTTGCCAAAAACGAGAAAATGCTATAAAGTGCAACCAATAACTATGGCCTAGTTTGGAATAGCTAATTGCAACTTATCTACACTTGGCTTGGTTTGAAATAGCAATAGGAAAAAATACAAAATACAAAATACAAAATAGAGGCTTGAAGAAGAAGGTACATGAAGACAAAAAACTTTTACTAAACCAGGTACACGAACCCTGTTTTTAGTGAACAAGTTTTTAATTGAACCTAGGGGATTAAATCTGGCCGAGCCCAGCCTAGCCTGGCCCATGTCAGGCCTCCTGTCAAAATTTGGGTTGGGCGAGGCCAGTCCATGGGCCAAAAAATTAGGCCTAAGCCCAAGCCCAAGCCCAACCCAAGGATATTCGAGCCTTGGGAGGGCCGATAGGCCTGGCCTTGGGCTTGGACGGGTTTGACCATTTTTTTTTTGTTTTTTTAAATTTTTTCTATCAAAATGTTATTATTTTCCACTAAAAAAGACACTAGGCCGATGGGCGAGCTGGGCTAGGCGGGCAGGACCCACGAGCCAGACCGGGCCTTAAAATGGTGGCCCATGCCCTAGCCCAAGGGCTCAGACTAGTTTCGGGCCCAAACGGGCCTAAATGGCCCGGGCCACCCACGGGCCACGAGCCATTTTTACACTCCTAATTGAACCTTACTTTTACATTGTTTTTAATTGCAACTTACCCTTAGTACGTTTTTAGTGAACAAGGTATAGGAAGCAAAAAATTTAGAAGGGCAAACTTCACTTTACCCCTAGTGGTTTGGGCTGGGTGCGGATTATCCCATTGACATTCGAAAATCACCACTTAACCCCCATGTGGTTATTGGATTGAAATGCACACTAACTTCTGTTAACAGAAGTCGTAAATTGACAATTATACCCTCATCTTCATCTTCTCCGTCTCTCTTTCTTTCTCTCCATCTCTCTCTCTCCATTTCATCTTCTTCACAATTCATCACCCAAACTTTACATATACATATACATATATACTTTATATGTGTACATATATATATATACAATCTCATATGGTGTTCAATGATTAGCAATCATATATATATATATATATACATGCAATAGATGCAAAAACAAAATCATTTTTTTTAAAACATAACACACATATATATATACATATATATGGATATAACATGAGCATACAAAGTTTTTTTCAATCTTCATTTGATGAGACTTATGGCTTGATTTGATTTGGTTAACAATTCAATAGGTCATTTAATAAGTAAAAACATACATACTTACCTCCACTTTGAGTCAAATGAAAATGGAACACAAAGCAAAATGCAGTAAGTCTTGTAATTTTTGTATAATTATATTGAAGTCCATTAAGATTTTAATTAAGATAACACTTAGATTCATTTTTTGTCAATAATTTGTTAGTCATGTTGATGAAAAATAGTTTTGTCATATTTATTACATTAAAATGTATTTTTTACTTTATTTATTTTTGCGTTTTTACACCATCTACATTAATTTTGACCCCTTTGATCTTACTAAAAGAGAGATTGATGTAATTATGTCAAAATTATAAAATTTATGATATTTATACCAAATTTTAAGGAGTTGTTGTAATTTACCGTTTATAATTTAATCTAATTACAGAACTAGTAAGTCACTTGCCAAAAACGAGAAAATGCTATAAAGTGCAACCAATAACTATGGCCTAGTTTGGAATAGCTAATTGCAACTTATCTACACTTGGCTTGGTTTGAAATAGCAATAGGAAAAAATACAAAATACAAAATACAAAATAGAGGCTTGAAGAAGAAGGTACATGAAGACAAAAAACTTTTACTAAACAAGGTACACGAACCCTGTTTTTAGTGAACAAGTTTTTAATTGCAACTCACATTTACATTGTTTTTAATTGCAACTTACTCTTACTATGTTTTTAGAGAACAAGGTAAATGACGCAAAAAATTTAGAAAGGCAAACTTTACTTTTCCCCCATGTGGTTAAGGCCGAGTGCGGATTACCCCCTGACATTCGGAAATCACCACAAAACCCCCATGTGGTTACTAGATTGAAATGCACATTAACTTCTATTAACAGAAGTTGTAAATTGACAATTATACCCTCATCTTCATCTTCTCTCTCTCTATCTCCATATTTCATCTTCTTCATCTTCTTCATAGTTCACTGCCCAAACTTTACATATATATACATATACATATATACTTTATATGTGTACATATATATACATATACAATCTCATATGGGGTTCAATGATTAGCAATCATATATATATATACATATAGTAGATGCAAAAACAAAATCAATTTTTTTTTTAAACATAACATATATATATATGGATAAAACATGAGCATACAAAGTTTTTTTTAAATCTTCTTTGTGCATCTATAAATATGTCTGTGTATGTATGTGATTCCAAATGATTTGATGATGATGTTTGATGAATTCAAAATTCAAAATCGTGTTATTTAAATTCAGTTTTTTCACTATGTATATAAATACATATATATATGTACATATATTTGATTTGATGATTATAAACAAAATAAAAAATAAAAAGAGCAAGAGAAGACGTTGATTCTAGAAATATATAACACACATATATATCAATGCATCTATATATATAACTGTGTGTCAATCTTTACCAAATGATTTGATGATATGTTTGATGAATTGAAAATTCAAAATCGTGCTATTTGATTTCATTTTTTTCACCATGTATATACATAAATACATACATACATATATATGGGTGTATATATATATATCTTTGATTGGGAAACATTACCAAAAAAATAATAATAATAAGAGGGAGAAAGAGAGAGAGAGAGAAGACGTTGATTCAAGAAAAACATATATCTAAAGATATATATGTATATGAATGTAAATGATTCCAGAAAAATAAATATCTAATGATGTATATATATATATATGAATGTATATATGTTTGTATAACCAGCTGCTAATGGTTGAAAAATAGAAATAGGAAAAGAATGGCATGCTTTGTAAATTTGAAAAGGTATAAAGGGTATTTTCACCATAAAAACTGACTCACTCTCTATAGAGGCGCGTGACTTTCACATCCTACTATCTTAAACAGAAAAGCTAACAATGCGTTTTAGTCCGCAAATCACATGGGGCTTATGAGGTGAATTCCAAATGTCAGGAGGTAATCCGCACCTAACCCAAACCATAGGGGGTAAAGTGAAGTTTACCCAATTTAGAAAAGAGATTATTCTGCACGAGTCTTTAAAATTAAGGCAAACTTCACTTTACACCCTGTGGTTTGGGCCGGGTGCGGATTACGAATTGCAAATTACCCCCTTGACATTCGGGAATCACCACATAACCCCCACGTGGTTACAGAGCAATTCGAAAGCTAGTAGATTTCCCTAAGTCTTCTAGACAATCTACCTCTGAACCTGTTGAGTCAGTTCTTCAAGGAATGCCTTCTAGACCTCCTAGTAATCCTGACCAAATAGATCCAGTCGTTCAAGGAATTTAACTTTCAAAAAACCAAATACCACATGGTATTTACGAATCCAGAAGGCCTTATAGCCCTACAGCAAGTGACATAAATTTTGAAATTTAATGGATTTTACACCAAGTAGTAAAGTTAGACAAATCCTTAACCAAGATTTGCAACAGGATAAATACAGAGATTTTAGAGCATGGTATTTTAAGAACCATACTAAAGAAAAACTACAGGAATACAAAATACAGTATTATACTTATTGAGAACAACACCAGAGTATGTTGTCTTTTCCTCTATGGTTTAAGGAAAATATTACTACAGAATCACAAATTAATGTACTTGAAAATATACAGAAAAATTGGACCACAACAGATGGCCAAATCATAACTTCTGTCCATCCTCCTCCACAATCTTTTGAACTCAAACCAAGTACAGATACTGGGTCAAATAAACCTTTGGTTATCACAACTTTTGTTGAAGCTCCAGGGGTAGTTGGAATTAGGGAACAAGTTCAAATTAAAGAAATTGTACCCTTAATCAAACAAAATAATTATACAAATCTTTTTTTGCCAAACAGCAGGAAAACAATTAATTAGAATTGAAGAAGTTGTTATGGAAATTAAAGATAGTTATAAACTCCAGCCTAAAACTGAAACTGCTTCAGAAATAATTCCAGTAACAATCAAACCACCTTTAGACGTAACAAAGTTTAAACTTAAATCGTCTAAACAAGATACAGAATTTATGGAAACTCTTATTGGAAGAATTAAAAATCTTAAAATAAGAGAATCCTCCTCATCTCAAATTAATATGTTATCCCGACACTTTCCACCCAAAGATAAAGAAGAAAACCTTACTTTATCCCAAATTACAGAAATCGAAAAGAATTTTCTGGACCAACCGAATTCCATAAATAAAGTTCATTATCAGAATGCAACTTCCAGTAAAATAGCACCTAGTAGATATTATTATCCTAGGAGCACTCCAATGGATATTCTTTATGAAGAAGATTTTCTACAGACACAAAAATCATATCATGGTAAAATCATTTATGAATAGAATATAGATGGTGTTTCAGAATATCAGATTTTTGAATTATTGCATCAAATGATAATGTATTCAACAATCTGTAAACAGAATGATAATGATGATCATGAAATCGCCAGATTTCCGGTTAATGGTTTTAGAGGTATACTTAGAGGATGGTGGGATAACATCATCACTAAAACCCAGCAAACTGAGATTCTTACAGCTTTTAAAAGAGTTACAGAACCCATCACAGGAAATGTAATAACAGAACAAGATGCTGTTTATACTCTTATCAATACAATTCTACATCATTTTGTAGGCGCTTCTACAGATGGTACAGAAGATAGGAGTAGAGAACTTTTACAAAATTTAGGATGTCCCTCTTTATCTTATTTTAGATGGTATAAAGATGTTTTTATGATGAGAGTTGTCAGAAGATCTGACACCAACAGTGATCATTGGAAAGCCAAATTTATTGATGGCCTTCCAACTCTCTTTGTTGAGAGAATCAGAAAGAAATTAAGGGATAAACATAGTAAGATGTCTATTCCTTATTTCGAATATACCTATGGCCAACTCATAAGATTGGTCACAGAAGAAGGTCTTGCTTTATGTAATGATCTTAAATTACAGAATCAAATGAAAAAATAGAGTCATAATGAATTAGGTGAATTTTGTGAACAATTTGCCTATGACACTAAAATCCAGTATCCTTCCAAACATAAAAACAAAAAACATAAATATGGAAAATCTTCAAAGTATTATTCCAAAAATTCCAGAAAATACAAACCATCTACGCAAATTATTCAGCAACAACAGTCTTCGAAATCCAAAGGCAAACAGAAGACTTCTTATAAAAAGAAAGATAAGTCTACAGTTAAATGTTATAAATGTGGCCAAACAGGTCATTATGCCAATTGTTGCCAAGCTAAAATCCAACAGAAATTAAATGAGTTAGCTTTGGACGATGAAATCCAGCAACAAATCCTTCAGATGATTTCTAAAGATTCTAGTATAGATTCAAATACAAAATACAAAATAGAGGCTTGAAGAAGAAGGTACATGAAGACAAAAAACTTTTACTAAACAAGGTACACGAACCCTGTTTTTAGTGAACAAGTTTTTAATTGCAACTCACATTTACATTGTTTTTAATTGCAACTTACTCTTACTATGTTTTTAGTGAACATGGTAAATGAAGCAAAAAATTTAGAAAGGCAAACTTTACTTTTCCCCCATGTGGTTAAGGCCGGGTGCGGATTACCCCCTGACATTTGGAAATCACCACAAAACCCCCATGTGGTTACTAGATTGAAATGCACATTAACTTCTATTAACAGAAGTTGTAAATTGACAATTATACCCTCATCTTCATCTTCTCTCTCTCTATCTCCATATTTCATCTTCTTCATCTTCTTCATAGTTCACTGCCCAAACTTTACATATATATACATATATATACATATACATATATACTTTATATGTGTACATATATATATATACAATCTCATATGGTGTTCAATGATTAGCAATCATATATATATATATATATACATACAATAGATGCAAAAACAAAATCATTTTTTTTAACATAACACACACATATATATATACATATATATGGATATAACATGAGCATACAAAGTTTTTTTCAATCTTCATTTGATGAGACTTATGGCTTGATTTGATTTGGTTAACAATTCAATAGGTCATTTAATAAGTAAAAACATACATACTTACCTCCACTTTGAGTCAAATGAAAATGGAACACAAAGCAAAATGCAGTAAGTCTTGTAATTTTTGTATAATTATATTGAAGTCCATTAAGATTTTAATTAAGATAACACTTAGATTCATTTTTTGTCAATAATTTGTTAGTCATGTTGATGAAAAATAGTTTTGTCATATTTATTACATTAAAATGTATTTTTTACTTTATTTATTTTTGCGTTTTTACACCATCTACATTAATTTTGACCCCTTTGATCTTACTAAAAGAGAGATTGATGTAATTATGTCAAAATTATAAAATTTATGATATTTATACCAAATTTTAAGGAGTTGTTGTAATTTACCGTTTATAATTTAATCTAATTACAGAACTAGTAAGTCACTTGCCAAAAACGAGAAAATGCTATAAAGTGCAACCAATAACTATGGCCTAGTTTGGAATAGCTAATTGCAACTTATCTACACTTGGCTTGGTTTGAAATAGCAATAGGAAAAAATACAAAATACAAAATACAAAATAGAGGCTTGAAGAAGAAGGTACATGAAGACAAAAAACTTTTACTAAACAAGGTACACGAACCCTGTTTTTAGTGAACAAGTTTTTAATTGCAACTCACATTTACATTGTTTTTAATTGCAACTTACTCTTACTATGTTTTTAGAGAACAAGGTAAATGACGCAAAAAATTTAGAAAGGCAAACTTTACTTTTCCCCCATGTGGTTAAGGCCGAGTGCGGATTACCCCCTGACATTCGGAAATCACCACAAAACCCCCATGTGGTTACTAGATTGAAATGCACATTAACTTCTATTAACAGAAGTTGTAAATTGACAATTATACCCTCATCTTCATCTTCTCTCTCTCTATCTCCATATTTCATCTTCTTCATCTTCTTCATAGTTCACTGCCCAAACTTTACATATATATACATATACATATATACTTTATATGTGTACATATATATACATATACAATCTCATATGGGGTTCAATGATTAGCAATCATATATATATATACATATAGTAGATGCAAAAACAAAATCAATTTTTTTTTTAAACATAACATATATATATATGGATAAAACATGAGCATACAAAGTTTTTTTTAAATCTTCTTTGTGCATCTATAAATATGTCTGTGTATGTATGTGATTCCAAATGATTTGATGATGATGTTTGATGAATTCAAAATTCAAAATCGTGTTATTTAAATTCAGTTTTTTCACTATGTATATAAATACATATATATATGTACATATATTTGATTTGATGATTATAAACAAAATAAAAAATAAAAAGAGCAAGAGAAGACGTTGATTCTAGAAATATATAACACACATATATATCAATGCATCTATATATATAACTGTGTGTCAATCTTTACCGGATAATTTGATGATATGTTTGATGAATTGAAAATTCAAAATCGTGCTATTTGATTTCATTTTTTTCACTATGTATATACATAAATACATACATACATATATATGTGTATATATATATATATATATCTTTGATTGGGAAACATTACAAAAAATAATAATAATAAGAGGGAGAAAGAGAGAGAGAGAAAAGACGTTGATTCAAGAAAAAAAAAATATAAAAAGATATATATGTATATGAATGTAAATGATTCCAGAAAAAATAAATATCTAATGATGTATATATATATATATGAATGTATATATGTTTGTATAACCAGCTGCTAATGGTTGAAAAATAGAAATAGGAAAAGAATGGCATGCTTTGTAAATTCGAAAAGGTATAAAGGGTATTTTTGCCATAAAAACTGACTCACTCTCTATAGAGGCGCGTGACTTTCACATCCTACTATCTTAAACAGAAAAGCTAACAATGCGTTTTAGTCCGCAAATCACATGGGGCTTATGAGGTGAATTCCAAATGTCAGGAGGTAATCCGCACCCAACCCAAACCATAAGGGGTAAAGTGAAGTTTACCCAATTTAGAAAAGAGATTATTCTACACGAGTCTTTAAAATTAAGGCAAACTTCACTTTACACCCTGTGGTTTGGGTCAAGTGCAGATTACGAATTGCAAATTACCCCATTGGCATTCGGGAATCACCACATAACCCCCATGTGGTTACAGAGCAATTCGAAAGCTAGTAGATTTCCCTAAGTCTTCTAGACAATCTACCTCTGAACCTGTTGAGTCAGTTCTTCAAGGAATGCCTTCTAGACCTCCTAGTAATCCTGACCAAATAGATCCAGTAGTACAGGGATTACAATTTTTAGAAAATCAGATACCACATGGTGTCTATGAATCCAGAAGGCCTTACAGCCCTATAGCCAGTGACATGAATTTTGAAATCTAATGGATTTTACACCGGGAGGTGAAACTCGAAAAATCCTAAATCAGGATTTTCAATAGGAACAATACAGAGAATTTAGAACATGGTATTTTAATAACCATACCACAGAAGAAATACAGAATTATAAATTTTAGTATTATGCTTATTTAGAACAACATCAGAAACTTCAATCTTTTCCTTTATGGTTTAAGGAAAACTTTCTTCACCAAGAATTTCAGATTAATGTTCTAGAAAATATTCAGAAAACCTGGGTGACTACTGTGGTCATTAGATGGCAACAGTATCACCTCCATACATCCACCACCTAAATCACTAGAACTTCGACCCAGTGATTTTATATCCAATAAACCCTTGAATGTGATAGCATTCGTTGAACCTCCACAAAGAAGTTCATCCAAAGAACCTTTAACCGATAAAGAAATCATACTGTTAATCAAACAAAGTAATTATACGAATCTCTACTGTCAAACAGTTGGCAAACAGTTAACCAGAATCGAAGAAACTGTAACACATCTTAAAGAAAGTTGCCAGTTTCAACCAAAACCAGTATCAATTCATCCAGTTACTATAAAACCATCTCCAACAGTGACTAATTTTAATCTCAAGTCACGAAAACCTAATACAGAATTTATGGATACTCTTATCAATAAGATCGAAGATCTTCATATAGGAGAATCCTCCCAAGTTAATATGTTATCCAGTAATCATTTAGGATCCCAAGAAGAATCCTACAATAACCTAACGCCTTCACAAATATCAAAAATCCAGGCAAATTTTCAGAATGAACCTTCAACTATAAATAGAGTTCATTATGGCCAAAATACTAATCGAATGGCTCTTTCAGGACCCAGTAGGTACTATTATCCCCGACCTACTCCTATGGATATTCTCTATGAAGAAGATTTCGTTCAAAACCAGCAGTAAAACCATTTATGAATAAAATATTGACGGTCTTTCAGAATATCAAATCTAGAAATTCTAAAGCATATGCTCATGTTTGCAACAGTCTGCAAACAGAATGAAAATACAGATCATCAAGTTGCCCGCTTCATTGTTAGTGGCTTTACAGGCACCTTAAAAGGATGGTGGGATAATATCCTTACCGAGGAACAAACTGATTAAATTTTAACTTCTAGGGCTTTACAACAATTAGATTTTTGTAATCAACAGATTGATAGAATTCAATCTCAAATACAGGAGAAAATAATTGCGTGGGCGTCTGTCCAAAGACCTCCACCCCCTCTACAGTAAATTTATGAGACCATATATGGCATAATTTAGGTATAATATATTAATAATATGAATAATAATATTCTTGGGTTTGTGCTTAATGATGGGTATAACAGTGTTAGGTTGAGTGGGACGTCACCCAAGTCGCGTAGAGGTCAGACCAGTAGCAGTGATTGCAGTTAGGTCATTTATTCTCGTAAACCGTTGATAGACGTGCTTAGCTAGAACCCTGTGTCAAGCACCATTATTGGTATCAGAGCCAAGTTCATTGTCAGTCATATTATGTTTATATTATGTCACATTTTTGAAATCTAATGGATTTCACTTCCTGGTGTAAAATCCATTAGATTTCAAAATTCATGTCACTGGCTGTAGGGCTGTAAGGCCTTCTGGATTCATAGGCACCATGTGGTATCTGATTTTCTAAAAATTGTAATCCCTGTACTACTGGATCTATTTGGTCAGGATTACTAGGAGGTCTAGAAGACATTCCTTGAAGAACTTAATCAACAGGTTCAGAGGTAAATTGTCTAGAAGACTTAGGGAAATCTACTCTGTAAGAAGGAGCAGTTCGAAAGCTAGTAGTAGACATACTTCTGGATAAAGGCCTTTGAGGTCTTTTGAAAGTAAGGTAAACATTTCCTCTTTGGGTCTGAATAACATCATCCAAAGATTGTTGGACAATTGGTCTGGATGGAACAACATTATTTATTTGCCATCTTTCTGGAAAAGTTATATTTTGCCATGGAATCATTTTTGGCACAGCAACTTGACTACTGAATAGATTTGTGTCAATTAAGACTGTATGTCCTAATTCACTCTGCTTCCTAACATAAGGATTTAAAGTTGTTAAAACCTTTAAATAAATTCTGGAAATTACCGCAAAGGGTGGTGATCCTGGAAGATACTCATAATCATGAGAAAAAACCCTAAGTTCTAAGACTTTGGATAAATTTGCATCTGTAAGAGCTATACTCAAATTTGGATATATATTAAAATATACTAGACCATGGGAAAGACTGGTTTCTACCGCTCCCATAAGAGATGCTCTCCAATTGAGACATCTCCCATCTCTGACAGTGCATTGGATACTGGTATTTTGACCAAGAAGGGTCAAAGGTTTAAAAGCTATCTGAACAAGTCCGACATGGACATACTTGTATTTCTGTAAGAAAGGGTGTAAGTCCTGTATATGTAAAAGATACATTATCTCATCATCACTCTGTATTGAAGCTGCATGCTCAAATGTTTTGATTATTTTTCTGCTGGAAAAGTCAAAGGTTCCTATCTTATAGATAGTATCTGGTTTGACTTTAGGGATAGTCCATCTATCTAAGGCTTCCTTAACATCCTGGTAGGCTACTAATTCTCGGGCTTCTGATGTAGAAGCTACGGTATTAGCTACTGTATTTGTTACTGTAGGTGCTACTTCTTCCGAAGGTATCGTACTCATGTGATTGTATAGTGACCATATATGTATAATTTAAACATAATATGACTGACAATAAACTTGGCTCTGATACCAATAATGGTGCTTGACACAGGGTTCTAGCTAAGCACGTCTATCAACGGTTTACGAGAATAAATGACCTAACTGCAATCACTGCTACTGGTCTGACCTCTACGCGACTTGGGTGACGTCCCACTCAACCTAACACTGTTATACCCATCATTAAGCACAAACCCAAGAATATTATTATTCATATTATTAATATATTATACCTAAATTATGCCATATATGGTCTCATAAATTTACTGTAGAGGGGGTGGAGGTCTTTGGACAGACGCCCACGCAATTATTTTCTCCTGTATTTGAGATTGAATTCTATCAATCTGTTGATTACAAAAATCTAATTGTTGTAAAGCCCTAGAAGTTAAAATTTAATCAGTTTGTTCCTCGGTAAGGATATTATCCCACCATCCTTTTAAGGTGCCTGTAAAGCCACTAACAATGAAGCGGGCAACTTGATGATCTGTATTTTCATTCTGTTTGTAGACTGTTGCAAACATGAGCATATGCTGTAGAATTTCATAGATTTGAATTTGCTTTAATTTTCATCTTATTTCTCCTTCTTTTATCTAACTTTCTCTTCTACCACTCAAGTAGAAAGTTTCCCTCTAACTCTCTCCGTCCTTCTCCACCGTTCTCTCTTTTGTTTTAGGAACTAATTAGGTTAGGCAACTAATAGCTTTATTTGCTTAAGTGGCCAAGTTTAACTCAAACTAATCTTGCTTAGCCTCCAAGAAGGAGAATTTACTAAGTAATTGTAGCTTAACGATCTTAGTTTGACTTAAGTACGTCATTTAAGGTTTTCAAAATCACCTAAGTGTTCAGTTCTCAAGTCCAAAAGAATAAATTTGAATTCGTTTTAATTTTAATCCTATTTCCTTTTCTTTTCTCTAACTTTCTCTTCTAGCTTTCAAGAAGAAAGTTTCTCTCTAACTCTCTTTAATTTATTCTAAGAACAAATTAGGTTAGGCAGCTAATAGCTTCAATAGCTTAAGTGGCCAAGTTTAACTCAAACTAATCTTGCTTAGCCTCCAAGAAAGATAATTTACTTAGTAGCTTAACGATATTAGGATAACGTAAGCAACTCATTTAATGTTTTGTAAATCACCTAAGTGTTCAATTCACAAGTCCAAAAGGATGAATTTGAATTCATTTTAATTGTCATCCTATTTCCCTTACTTTTATCTTACTTTCTCTTCTACCGCTCAAGATGAAAGTTTTTTTCTAACTCTCTCTGTCCTTCTCCATCCTTCTCTCTTTTCGTTCTTGGAACTAATTTGTTTAGGCGACTAATAGTTTCATTTGATTAAGTGGCCAAGTTCAACCCAAAATAATCTTGCTTAGCCTCCAAGAAAGAGAATTTACTGAGTAATTGTATGTTGACGATATTAGTTTAGCTTAAGAACCTCATTTAATGTTTTCTAAATCACCTATGTGTTCAATTGTCAATTCCAAAAGGATGAATTTCAATTCACTTTAATTTTTATCCTATTTCCCTTTCTTTTCCCTTTCTTTAATTTTTATCCCCGTCCCCAATCCCTGATGGTGGAAATTTCCTCGTCCTCAGCCCCGATCCTCGAAGGGGAACCCGCCCCCGCCCCCTAATGGGGATCGAGTTTCACTGACCCTAAAAATTCCCCAACCAAAAAAAAAAAAAAAGCTCCAAAAAATAAATGAATTCATCAACATCGACAACAACAACAACAACATCACCAAATCATATATGTTCATCATCATCATCATCATCATCAACAACAACACACCCATACACCAGAATTCACATATATATTCAACAGATCATCATTTTCTTCATCTTCATCAACAACAGCTCTGAGCTCAAATCAAAAAACATCTTCATCATTTTCATCAACAACAGATCTTCATCAACAACAATATCTTCATATTCATCTTCATCATTTTCCAGATCTGAAGAACAAAAGCAAAAAATAAGAAACGAAGATCGGTGAAGATGATAAAGGGGTTAATAGTGACAAACACAGATTTTGTTAAACTATAAACAAATTTGAGAGTAATTAGTGAGTTTAAGTAGTGAGAGAGAGTGAGTACCTGCAGCACCAGTGACGAGGACGCGAACTGGTTCTTTCGCCATTATAGAAAGAGATCTGATCGAAGAGACGATGAAAAATGAGAGAGTGCGTTGAAAATCTGGGGAGGAAGAGTGGGTTTGTGAGGTGTATTTATTTATCAGTAAGAAAGTGATTAAGCCAAGGAAAAATTTTGAATTTGCAAGGGTCTTTTATTAATGTCTTCCGAGAGAGGAGAAGTTGCCGCCGTGACGCCGTGAGGGAGAAGTGATGCTGGTGAGAAAGAGAGGAAGAGTCGCCACCACCGCCGTGAGCACTTGCAGTAAAGAAAGAGGGGGAGAGAAGAGAAGTGAGTGTAAATGAGAGAAAGAGGCTAAAAATGAGAAGTACAATAACCATAAACATATATATATATATATATATGGAGAATATTCGGAGATTATTCAGGGCGAGCCAGGGCCAGGTGAACCTACCCCCATCCCCAGCCCGAATACCATCGGGGATTCAATTTTTAATACCATCCCCAGCCTTGTAAGGGTAATTTTCGGTGAAAACCCATTCTAATCGAGATCAAGATCGGGGGGTCGGGTCCCCATCAGACCAGGTTCAAATTGCCATCCCTACTCTCCATTCATCTTCTTCACAGTTCATTGCCTAAACTTTACATATATATACATATACAATATATATATATATATACACATACAGCAAATGTAAAAACAAAATCAATTTTTTTTTAAACATAACACAGCTATGTGTGTGTGTGTGTGTGTGTGGATAAAACAAGAGCATACGAAAAAAAAAATTCAATCTTCATTGTGCATCTATATATGTGTGTGTGTGTGTCTGTGTGTGTGTGTGTATGATTCCAAATGATTTGATAATGATGTCTGATGAATTCAAAATTCAATATCGTGTTATTTGATTTCCGCTTTTTCACTATATATACATATACATACATGCACACATACATATATATATACATACATATCTTTGATTTGATGATTATAAAAAAAGAAAAAAGAAAAAAGAAAAAAAGAGAGAGAGAGATAAGATATTGATTCCAGAAATATATAAAACATATATATATATATATATCTGTGCATCTATATATATGTGTGTGTGTGTGTGTGTGTGTG